AGATAGATAGATAGATAGATAGATAGATAGATAGATAGATAGATAGATAGATAGATAGATAGATAGATAGATAGATAGATAGATTTACTGATGCATTCATGGTAGCAGGCCTAATTTTATTGACTTTATACCACTAATAAGTTTAATGTAACCAAAAACAAACAAACAATGGTACAGCTAGATATAGCTATATTAAGACATTGTAGAAAATTATCCGTAGCCTACTTTGCGTAAATGGCCTACAGTGAATAAGATGTTATGCGCATACAGCTACATTTACTTTGCACAACACATTTAGAAATATAGCAAAGAGCTAGCTACTCTGACTCTCAGCTATCACCAACAAGTTAACTTGGGATCAAGGACTTTTTGCAGCACTGCAGAAGTCAAGACACAAAACCATAATACAGCAATGACATAAAAATAACTTAGTAGATCCTTATAATACTTGATTTAGCATGTTTACATGCCATAAGCTAGCTTAGCTAGCAACTAACACGACCTTCTGTTGGGATTAGTGACTGAAATACGACCAAAATGTAGTCTTATTGTTAATGTTATATGAAAATATGAATAGATAGCCATATTCCACTCCTTATAGTGATAACATCCGTCATTTGCTTGGCTTGTCATCCTTAAGGAAAACAATATAACTCAAAGCTAGCCTTTTAGCGAACTCTTATTCATTCTTAGTATTTATTGATATAGCGGTTTTGCATTTTCAGACTTTTCTGTTATGATTTGTTCTATTAATAATGTAGATTGCTGGTTTTATTTGTGTATGTGGGTAAGTTGTTTTTTTATGGCATGTCTGCTGTAATATTTGTTTGGATAAGTGCTATATAAATAAACTTTATTGCTTCTATTACAAAATAAACTGCGATGCCCTCAAGGTAGAAGTGGTCTTAAAAAAAACAACAAAAACAAACAAACAAATGCAGTAAGAAACAACAGCACCAGATCTGCAAATATTTAAAGAGTAGTGTGCTTTGAATAGAGCAGTCATGCCCAAGGAGGTGCTCTTTACATTTACCAGCAATGAAGTCACTTGGTATCAGATGCAGCTGTGTCCTATGAGAAAAACCACTGTGGTTTCAATTTTCGAGCATATCTTTCATCTCATTACTTGGCTGAAACTGCACTCCCCTCATTTATTTATTTATTTTCAATAAAATGAGGGGTTGATTTTAGAGATTTTCTTAAAATCAGCATAGTAAAATTTTCTTTTATCAAACATGCATTTTGGCTCTGTCTCAGATGCTCCTTTATACTGGAGCATATCTTCCTTCAGTGCGAGTTAATAACTGCTTCCTGACTTCTGTTGCACATCATCATTTCTCCTTTGCTCTCTATCTCTCACAAACGCACACTCGCAAACACACTCACACATAATCACTTTCAGCATATTGTACTGCTGTGTGATCAGTTTATCTCACATAGCCTGCTCCTCACACAGGGTGTACCCCACCGAGAGAGTGTGTTTGTTAGTATGTGTGCTGTATGAGCGAGTTTGAGAGGATTAGAGGCAAGTAAACTTTAATAATACTAATCTGTCTGACCGCGTGTCTCTCCTGTGCATCCGTCCTCTCACATGCATATGCACGGACATGTGTTTGTGTGTGTTGCACAAGCTTATGTGACCGACTATAATTCTATTAGCAGCTCTAATGGAAACACAGCATTCCGTGGAAATATGATTCCTAGAGAAAGGGAGAGGTGGGACAAGCAAAGGATGAGGGAAAGGAGGGAAAAGGATGGAGGATGAAGGGAGTTTAAACCATGAGAAAGAGTGGGATGAATGGAAGAAGAGGCTGAAAGACTAACGAAGGGGAAAACAAAAATATATGAATGAAATCAGAAAAAGCGAACAGAAAAAAGTGTAAAGGACTTAAAACCACTATTGTCATTACACAACACTGTAATGACAATAGTGGTTCATTTTTATGCTGTTATTGTTATTGTTATTTTAGTAGACTCGCAGACATAAGGTTCTTCATTTTCAACATCTATCCACCACAGGTTTTGTGGTGTAGCTCCATTTCGGCCAGGCTAACTCATCATAAATGTTCTTTTGTCTGTGCTTTCATGTTACTCTGATGAATATAACTCACCTAAACATTGTTGCAAGACTAAGCACCTGCTTCCAATAGCAATGGCAAGCCCCAAAAGCAGTGACCTCCCCCAGCTGAACCACACCGCCAAAACTGATCAGAAACTGTTTGGGAGCCTCATCGGTGCCTCAGGCTCTTTGCTGTGCTTCTCAGAGTCCCCAGATCCCAGTCTGTACAAGCATCTGCAGCAAGCAGCAGAACAAAGCCAGCCCACAGGACCCAAAGGATCTGCTGCCAACGTCACACCGGGAGACAACACAGGGCACCCCAAGGGGTCCCCTCCCTTGTGGTATATAATAATAATAAACTAAAAATGCATGAGAATTAAATGAAACAGTGATGAATTTATCTATGATCTTCCAGGGATAAATCAGGGTCAAATCAATGAATAGGAAGCAGAGGGACTTTATACATCCAGCTGTGTACTGT